TTTCTGTTTACTTGGTTTATTTAACACAGTGGTAGTCAACCTTTTTCCACTTACCGCCCACTAATGCATCTTTCTTGATGGAAAAATTTCCTTACCGCCCACCAGTTTTCGCGCAAGCGCGGAATATTTTTTAGAAAGGAGGGTGTTTTAAAAAATACATAAATGAACGTACATTTATCTTTTTATTTCTACTTTATGCATGTTTATAATGTTTTTAACTTTATAAAGTTTAATGAGGAAGCAATAAAGTAAATTGAACTTACCTTTACTAGTGATTAATGAGATCCTTGAGGTTGATGCTGCGAGACTAAATATTTGATATCTGGTTCAATTTTCATAAGGAACAAACGAAGGTCTCCTCTTTCAGTGATAATCGGAAGACTTCTTTGTTTGCTCATAAAATGATTTCTCATCTGTGCGTCAGCTCCCCTCCTCTCCCTCCTCAATTCCCCTTCCCACCTTTTTCCCCTTTTTTTCTATTTTTTAACCTTCCTTATAGCAATGCCCAGTAGGAAGGCTGAGCTAGGTAGCCCACTTACTATTATTAGTCAACAACAATTCTCTCCTTTTCCTTTTCTTTCCTTCTCCTTTTTTACAAGTACTCTACTCCTTCTTTCCTCTATACTAGAAGTACTCTACTCCTTCTTTCCCCTATACTAGAAGTACTCTACTCCTTCTTTCCCCTATACTAGAAGTACTCTACTCCTTCTTTCTCCTATTCTACAAGTACTCTGCACCTTCTTTCTTCTATTCTACAAGTACTCTGCACCTTCTTTCTTCTATTCTACAAGTACTCTGCTCACAGGCAAACACATACACACACACACACACACACTCACATTGAAACACATACACACAAATATACACATACTCACACATGCACTTACAGACACTCACACATGCACAGACAGACCCACAGACACACACACATACACTTACAGACACACACATACACTTACAGACAGACACATACACTTACAGACAGACACATACACTTACAGACAGACACATACACTTACAGACACAGACACACACATACACTTACAGACACAGACACACACATACACTTACAGACACAGACACACACATACACTTACAGACACACACACATACACTTACAGACACACACACATACACTTAGAGACAAACACATGTACACACAAATTATTAATATTAAATATCCACCCAGCCTCCCTACCTGGAGAGCTGGTGTGGATCTGTCCCTGGGGTCCAGTGGGGCTTCACTTAGGCGGGCGGCTAATCAGACGCAGCGAGGGAGCTCTAACCTCTCTGCTCTGCTCCCTCACGGACTGTCTACGGATGCCGGGAGCCGGAATATGACATCATATTCCAGCTCCCGCGGCATCAGCAAACATCGCGCGAGGGAGCAGAGCAGAGAGGTTAGAGCTCCCTCGCCGCGACTGATTAGAACGCTGCCATGCCGGGGGTCCAGAAGGTGGCCTGGCAGGAGGGAGCGCTTCCTCCTGCCGGTCACTGAAGACTTGCACATGCAGAGCCGCTCGCGCCCGCCCAAAAGGAGAAATCCTCTTAAAAAGAGGATTTAGCCTCAGAAATCCCTACCGCCCACCTGGAATCCTAAAACGCCCACTAGTGGGCGGTAGGGACCAGGTTGACGACCCATGATTTAACATATAATTTAAAAAAGAAGTAAAGGAAGAAGAAGGAGAGAATAAAGAGAGAGGAAAAGAAGACCCCTAATATATAGATATTCCTTTTCTCTGTTGTTAGCTAATAATAAAGTAGGCTACCTAGTTCAGCCTTTCTGTTGGTGATTGCAATAAGGAAGGAGAAAAGAGAAGAAAGGAAAAGGAAGAAAATGTTCAATAAAAAAGGCAAAAAAAATTTTTTTTTACATTGTTTATTTTGTATGTTGTTTTCACCTTTAACTTTATATATATATATATACACACACACACACACACACACTGATGAAAGTTTGGGGGACAAACTGAAACGTCTATTTTTTAATGTGAACAATAAAAGTTATCTTTTATTTATTGATACAGAAGTCCTTTGCTGATAAGCACAGAGAATTATACAATATATTATGAGGAGTGCAGGAATTTTATCATTTGTTTTGAAAACACCTAATCTAGGAAAAAATAATAGGGGTTTAGTTACAGTATATGATCATACAATGCATTTTCAACCCTCCCTGTCACAGGTACCTCATTCCAGGGCCCTATTTCACTTGTACTGCGGAGAGCCCCAGATGGAATTGTTTCCCAAAGTAAATTGGATAATCTCATAAGAGCAGACATTAGGCTGTTAGAGTTAAGACCTGCCAAATATGGGGTACATTGATGTTGTGGAAGGCTTATGCATTGTATGATCATATAATGTAACTAAACCCCCATAATTTTTGCCTAGATTAGGTGTTTTTAAAAAAACTAATAAAATCTGTCAACATTGAAGTTGCTGTTTAGCGTGTGCTGCGATCAGCTCAGACTCTCAGCCAATGAGCTGGCTCTGAACAGTAGGGTGTAGCTCAGGAGAGCTAGGAAGCTCTTACGTGGAGCGCGTTTTGCGGACTCCAGGCAAGACGTCACACCATTACTAAACTGACTAATCTCATAGATTGTAAGATCGCTTTAGCAGGATCTTTTTCACCTCTTGTCTCGGTTATATTCTGTATGCTAATTACTGGTTAAATATCCTTATTTTATAATTGTAAAGTGCTGCAGAATATGATGGCGCTGTATAAATGCTAATAATAGTTACACTTACATTGGATGGGGAGCTCCAGGGCATTCCTGGCACCATAACCACTACATCACATAGTTGCTATGGTGCCTGAAGAGTTCCTTTAAGAAGAAATACATATGGTTATGGAACTTTGACAAAACAAAACTAGCGCTATGTCAACTAGGACAAAACTTATTGTTAAAAGGACCACTATAGTGCCAGGAAAACAAACTTGTTTTCCTGGCTCTATAGGGTCTTTGAGTCCCCCCTTAGGGTCCCCCTCCTGCCGGGCTCTAGGGGGAGGAAGGGGTTAAACTCTTACCTTTCTCCAGCGCCTGGCTCCCTCTGCGCTGGGGACTCTCCGTCTTCCGCCGAATGCGCATGCGCGACAAGAGCCGCACGCACATTTAATCAGTCCATAGGAAAGCATTTCTCAATGCTTTCCTATGGACGTCAGCGTCTTCTCACTGTGATTTTCACAGTGAGAAGTGCTGAAGCGCCTCTAGCGGCTGTCAATGAGACAGCAACTAGAGGCTGGATTAACCCTATTATAAACATAGCAGTTTCAGCTGCAGGGTTAACCCTAGATGGACCTGGAACCCAGACCACTTCATTGAGCTAAAGTGGTCTGGGTGCCTATAGTGATCCTTTAAAAAATCAACTTAGATGTATGGATTACATCTATGCATGATTCATTCACATTAATAGAACGTTCTATAAATAGAGTAAAAGTTTTTCCCAAGTGACGTGTCCACATTAAAAGTATGTCAGGCATCCCTTCATTATAAACTTTACAAACAGCTATTGCATGATGCCCAAGTCACGCAGAACATGCCACCATGATGACACTGTGTGACTCACACACACACCGTACCCCACCCCCTTCCTGTGCTCCATGCGAACACCGACCTGTTACAAAGTGGGTTACAAAGTGTTAAAGCCAAAGCGGATCTGACCAATCATAGAGCAGGAAATCCTCCCCCCCTCAACCAATTAGGAAGTGAAGAAGTGAGGAACAGGAAGTGGCAGCGGCAGCAGAAAGATGAGAAGAGAGGAGTTGGAGCTGGGAGTCAGGGGATCAGTTTATGTGTGTATATATTTCTCCATACATAGCATTGTGTAATATCTTTGTGTGTGTAATGAGGATATATCTATACCAGCACACTCATCTGTGTCTGTGTGTACTTTGCTCACACTGTTGTGTACTTGTGTTGACATTGCCTTAGGTATCTCCCATATGTATGGAACAGGGAGAGCCAACTTGTTTCATATATATGGCCAGATAACAGCTTTAATACAAAGATCTGCTGGCTGAGGATCATGTGAGTTGCACTTTAAAAGCCATGCAGTTGCCTGCTAGGTGTCCATGGTGCCTACTTGGTTACAGTGTAAATGCTTAATAGTAACTGTTTACACTACAGCAATCAGAAATTCCACATTTTAGTACAACACGTGGTGGGTTTTTTTCTGACACAGTTACTAAGGCTTTGACTTTTTTTTTGTATTTTAGTCTTGCTAGGTTCTACTGTAGTTTATTGTTTTTATTATTTTTTTGGTGGGGGAGGGGGGATAAATACAAGAACAAAGTAGTTGTAAATAGTTTAGATCGAGTATTTGGGGCAATTCACTCTGAATAGTTTTACTCTTTTATGGTTTATTCATTAGACAATTATTCGTGGAGAATTGAAAGACTAATTTCAAAATATCATATTTGGCAAAAAACTTAAGTGCACTTCTACCCTAACTGTCACAATTCTGGTTTTACTAACTGGTTCACTACAATTTGTTGTTTAGTGTTTGTGTATTAATGCATCATATCACCTTGAGATTCCCAATTTCTTGGTAGGTCAATGTGGGAATGGGCAGTAAATGTCCATGCGTAGCTAGGTTAAAGAAAACATTTAAGTTATTTAAGTCGTGAGAAGTTGGCAACCTGCTCTTTTTTTATTGTTAAATGGTTGAAGAACAATCTTTCTTGCCTTTTGAAATTGTATTGCATGTCTCTGGGTTGTTCTACTTTTTGATATTCCTGGACAGTCCTCTCCTCTATTTTGTCTTTTTCTGAGTAATTGCAGTTCCAGTATAGTTGTGTCTATGCTTGTGAAAGGTGCAAACATCATGTAGCTATGGAGTCTCAGAGGGAAAGTCTTGGTTTGCATTGAAAGGAATATGGATAAGGCTTTCTGTTCTGGCACACATACCATCATGACCTTAAATAAAATTAAAATTATATAATCCTTCTGTCTAGGAAGTAAGTGTCCTGTAATTTAAATAGCATTCTGACATCCCAGCAATATAGTTTTTTTTTTTTTTTTTGTTGTTGTTTTTTAAATTTATTTATTTTTTATTCTTTTTTTATTGAGGTGATTGAGTTAAGTGTTACAGACAGAGAGCTTTCATGACAGGTATGTAACATCATAAAAAAGTGAAAACAATTCTCAGATAACACAGCCTCTTTTTGTGGTGTAGAAGAGAAAACAGATAAATTACATGTCTGTATAAGTGGAGTGGACTAGGCAGGTGGTCTAAGATTAGCGATTTAGATATGTTTAACAGTGTGGTGAAACAGTATTACAATACTAGTGTATCGATAGGGGCTCAAAAGTATTGGGTGCGTCTACACTTTATATTGTGGATTAAATGCAGGTCTGTTCTGTCTTAGCAGGTGTAGGTGAGTAATGTAGAGTCTGAATGGTCCTGTTGCTGGTCATCTTTTCACTCTGTTTTGAGCGTGTAGGGATTAATTGAGGGGAATAGTCATGTACTAACAGGGTCCTCACCGTGCCTCCGTTGCTATTGGGGTAGCACCAGATGTGTGGAGGTTATTTAGTATAAGGTGGTTTGTGCTTATCAGTATGGCAGGGACCATTTGTCAGTTGTCAATGTGCTTACGACCCCTAACCAGAGGGGGGGGGGGGTAAGGGGGGCTATCATTGGTATGTGTTTTGAGTTGGTAGAAGTGAGCCAAACTCCCAAGAGTGTATAAGGTTGTCGGTGACTGGTAAGTGTGTCAGATATGCGGTTGTGCAGTATATGTTAATATGTTTCTAAAGAGTAATGGTTAACAGCTAAAACAAAAATGAAACTTCAGACACGAGAACATTGCAGAGAAGAGATATTTGGGCGTTTTTGTGCCCCTCTTGACAGGAACAGTTCAGGTGGTGGCTCCCGATTTCCATCTCATAAGGGGAATGAAAGGAGCAATTTCGTGCTGGATCCCAGGTGTGCGTAGTGGTCGGTATCTCAGGGACCATGGGTCCCGTTGGGAGTCCCAGTACCTGGAGAAATGGGCAATGTACAGCGAGTGGTAGTGCCATTTGTATTCCACCCCAGCGTCTCAGAGTTTCTGGGTTACCGGGCCAAGAGATTTCCTCCATAACAATGTATTTCTAGTTAAGTACTAAAAAAAGGTGAGCTGTGTGGATTTTAAATCAAATGGGGTTTTTCCCCGAACCGCAGTCATAATCCTGTTTTTATCAGACAGGGGTTGGCATAGGACTATCTGTCTTGGGTAATGTGGCAGTTCGGTCGGGCCGGTTGTGTCTGCTATGTCCAAGATCCTCATGTTTGTGTGGTGGTTTCGGTCGTCAGCTAGGTCTAACCGGGTAAGGAGTTCCGTTTGTGAGGCCGGTAGCTGCAGTACAGTTTCTTAGTAAGTCCATGTCAGCCGTCGACATCTGCTTTAGTTCCAGCAGAAGGTTTTTTATATCCAGCTTAGTGGCTGGGGTCAGAGCGTCCAGATCCGCAGGAACTGTGACGGCCGTCTTGTGGTTTGCAGGTTTCACCTGGTCCACAGAAGCCGACTCTGAGCTGGAGGAGCTAGCATTGTGCTCCGGCGGGGTCGCCATTTTGTAGGCCGCAGGGCGCTGAAGCAGAACTCCTATATCTTGAGTCTTTGGACATGCTGGCTACAGGGGGCCAGTGTCCGGTATCAGCACCGAGAGGTATGATGCTGCCTGTGGAGCTGGTAGAGCGCGGCGGACTTTCCTGGCCGTTTGCAGGAACAAGAAGGGCATCTGGTCACCGCCTTGACTGCTAGGCTGGTGAGGTGAGTGTTTTGGTTCAGGTGTAGCACTTTGCTTGCAGAGATTACGTTGGATTTACTTTCAATGTGCAGGAGCTTGGGAGAATGGCGTCCATTCAGCTCAAACGTTAGGCTCCCCCTAGCAATATAGTTGATTACAGTGTGGTATAGTTCAAACATGAAAGTACAGATAATGCAGTGGCTGTCGTCATGTATTTTTGCACGTTTAAAAGACCACTGAAGTCACCCAGACCATTTCATTTAAATCAAGCAGCCTGGGTACAGAGGTCCCGTAGGTTTAACCCTGCAATGTTAGATATTCTAGTTTTTGTTTGTTTATTTTTTAGAAACTTCCATTTGTTCATTGCAGGGTTAAACAAAACACCCCTTTCAACAACCACTGGCTAGTTGAAAGTAGGAATGATCACCTCTTTAGCTATAACTTCTTTAAGGTTCTGATAGTCACTTATATTTGTGGCCGATGGGATTTATCGTAATCCAAATGACAATTTTGATTAGTGGGCTACCTTTAAACCTAATAATGGTGTTCTTGTACTTGGGTATGTTTTTAAACCTGCAGTTATCTTTATCAGTCCATATTTAGTCCAGGCAACAACAAACAAACGAACATACACACAATAACCAATATACTTTTCTCCTGAAAAAGCAGCATTGCCAGATGTGTAAATCACCATGTACTGCTTAGCCTGCTATTAATAGATTACTGGCTATTAAGGTGCTGACTGGATCAGATTGTTTACAGCACATGGTGCCAGCTCACTCTGAAGCATGATGAATTGAATGTTTGGGAAGTTATGTTAAAGCACACTGGCATTAAATTGTTTGGGTTTTTGGGGGGGCGGGCGTGTAGGGCAATAATTTATACCAGGTATATATCCCCTCTAGCATAACACCCAATTGTCCCTATCTAGGAGTGACAGTCCCTGTTTTGGGCCCCAAACCCTTTGTCCTTATTTTTTCTCCCACGGTCACTCTATTTTAGGAGCTCCATATTGTTGATGTGTTTGAGTATTACAGAGCTTCACAGCAAAAATCCTCACAGTAATGTGTCTTTAACCTCTCAACGACGATGGGCGTGTTATGCCTTTCTACAAAAGGTGAGCTGTAACGGCATAGGGCAGCATAGCACACCCTACCGATAAGCACCCCCCGGCTTGTACACTCACACTCGGCAGCAAATCCCGCCTATCCATGTCACTGCAATCACTTGACCAGACCAGCTTGATTGGCGTGCAGGGTTGTCACGCAGATCCCCATAATTATTAAAAACAAAATCATTTTGCATAAATCATTAAAAAAAAAATACAATTGTGATTATATAATAGAAATAACACACACAAAATATATAATTTCATTGTGTATTTTGAGATATATATATATGGCAGGCTTATGCAATGTATGATCATATAATGTAACTAAACCCCCATTATTTTTGCCTAGATTAGGTGTTTTTAAAAAAACAAATAAAATCTTTCAACATTGAAGTTGCTGTTTAGTGGATAGGTGAGTGCGCTTGATCTTGTGTATTGTATTATTTGGCCCCCAGCAGCACCCCATTTATGCATGTTAAGGTGAGTGCAGCCAACCCCTCTTTTTTTATATATATATATATATATATATATATATATATATATATATATATATGATTATGTATTTTATATAGTATTTTAGAGTATTATGGTATTTTTATATAGTATTTATATAATCGCTCAACAAATCCCAGGCGCCAGGTTGTCTGGGATTTGTAAGGCCTTTTAAGCAACCAACCTGGCAGCCTGGGATGGGAGGCAGGCAGGCAGGCAGGCAGCTCATGGAGAGCGAGGGCGGGCATGCGGCTCATGAAGCATGAAGAGCTGAGGGATTGAGACGGGCAGCTTACTGACTGCAGAGGTGGCGAGGGAACTGTTTTTTTCCAGCTCTGCTCCCTAGCGCGCGCATAGGGTTGCCACCTTTAAAAAAAAGTAAATAAAAAATACCGGCCATGCTAATTTGCATATTTATATATGCGTGACATCAAAGCACACAACGCACATAAAAGAACGAGAACATTTGGAAGCAGAAAATTCCCTAAATCACTAATAAAATACTTACAATGTTTGTACTTTTGTCTGACTGTTTGTATAGTATTGTGTATTTGAGGCAGTGTGTGTATATACTGTCTGGATGAGTGTATATGTACACACACCCACACCCCCCTCCCCTAAATATGCAGAGACTGAATACACTCTATTGCATTGTAGGTATTTTTTCAATACTGGCACCGGCCACACAGCTTCAAATACCGGCTGAGCCGGCCAGGTGGCAACCCTACGCGCATGCCTCGCAGTGATGCCGGGAGCCGGAATATGACATAATTCCGGCCTTGCTTACTAAACCGCGCCTGAGGGCTGAGCAGGGAGATGATCAGCGCCACCCCACTGGATCGCCAGTATCCACTCCTGCTCTCCCAAAAGATAGGGAGGCTGGGTGGGCAAATTTATATTAAATAAATTATAACTTGTAAATGTATGTGAAAATGGCATAATTGACATAACAAAATTGATTAATTTCTCACACTATTTTAGATAGTATTCATATTAAATTGTGTTCTACATATGAATATTTAGTCATTAAAGCCCTGTTTCTCCAGAACAAAATGATGTATAATAGGCGTGGGCGCACTGAATATGAAAGAGGTAAACTATGGTTGAACAGACACATAGCTCAAATTCTAGCTTTGTTTTGGTTCAGAACTTGGACAATTGCTTCCGTCCTTAAAGGGATTCTATAGTGCTAGGAAAACAAAGCTGTTTTCCTCACACTATGGAATCCTACAGTTACCTCCTCCCTTGTGCCCCCTCCCCCCCAGCGCTGAAGGGGTTAAAACCCCTTCATTCATTTACCTTACGAGTGACATCGACGCTGGGTCAGGATCCTCCCCGGCCGACATCATGCTCTTATGCGGCAACAGTCGCGCTCGCATTAGAATTTCTCCATAGGAAATCATTATTTAATCTGACACTGGAAGACCTCATGGATAGCGGGAGGACGTCCAGCATCAGATATCAGACCAAAGATCCTTTTTAATCCAGGAAGCCCTCTAGTGGTTGTCTGGTAGACAGCCACTAGAGGGGGAGTTAATCCTCAGAGGTAATTATTACAGTTTCTCACAAAACTGCAATAATTACCACTGTATGGTTAAGGGACAGGGGACATTAAACCTAGACCACTTCAATGAGCTGAAGTGGTCTGGGTGCCTACAGTGTCCTTTTAAGGGTTAATGTGTGTATATACACTGGTGCGATTAGTGCTAGAAGATGCTGGTGATGTCATATGCCAAAGAATGAGCTTTATATAACTGCTTATAAAGATATACTTAATGCATTGTGCTCTCTACTTTGTCTTAAATATACCTTACTTTAGTGCCTCATGTTGCTCTCTGAGCCTGGAAATTTCACTTTGAGTTTCGAATATCAGCACACTCTGTAGCATTTGTTATTAATTTGTTTGGGGTTTTTTGCTCCCAATTTGTGAGAGTACCATGTTAGTGATATATTTTATTTTTTTAAATATAATTGATAGGGATTGTTAAAGGAACTCGCCAAGCACCATAACCACTTCAGCTCAGTGCAGTGGTCATGGTCCCAGGCATACACTGGTGCCCCAAATGCAAGGAGGCACTCCCCACCTTCACTAACACTGGAGAGCCAGAAGTTCCTGTACCCGAACTTCTGTTGGCTCTTGTAAGCTAAAGCATGCAATGCAGGGCTTAGCTCTTTGGCTGAGAGCAATCTGCCTTACAAGAGCGGGTGCTTGCTAGCTGCAAGCTAAAGGTCACTAAAGGCCAATGTTTTACATGTCTGTCTAAGCCCTAATTGTCTTTGGTTGTAGGGACGGGATTTCTGTTTTGGGCAGGATGGAAAGCCATACAGATGTGAGATTGGATACTGCTGCGGAGACATGGAGTGCTGCACGTACTACTACGAATTATGGTGTAAGTGTTGATACGTCTTATTAAGGCGTTATTATAGATAAGTAAAATAAGTATTTGTTTTAATAAATGGTTTTTCTTCAGTAAGCCATGTCACAGATGGTCTGTATAAAGCAGGGGATGACTGTACAAGTGTGCGAGTATAGATGAAACATGTGAAACTGTTTATTCATTAAACATCAAATAGCAAATTGAAAACAGAATTGCTAAATTTAGGCAACGATAGCTGACACAACAAGTTCTTCCACCAACCTGTAGTTACAGCTTGGCTGTTTTAGCAACAGTATTGGAATTTGAGTTTTTTTTTTTTTTTTTTTAAGGGTTACTCCCAGCGCAGTGGTAGTGTTGGAAGGAGTAAACTGGCCCAATTCCAACTAACTTTTGCAAAATCTATACCTGGGTCCCTACCGGGCGCCTGTTCTGTACTGCTGGCTTATGACATCTGACCAAACCGGATGACGATCCCGCCATTCATGGCTCATAAATACAGCTCTGTGTACAGAAATATGCACAGAATTTACATTAGCCAGTTTGGAGCCTCTTGTTCCAGGCAGGTTGGTGACGCCCGAATGACACTGCCAGAGGTGGAGTTACACCTCGGGCAGCAAATTGGTTAAACATTGTATGTGCATTTCAAAGCGTAATGCTGCACATACAGACTACACACACCGTAATCATTTCAAATAATTAAAGTGGTTATGATGCTTGGAGTAACCCTATAATTCACTCTAATACAGTCTTTATTGAATACATTCCCTATCTGTCTTGTTAGCCCTAGATTAATTATGTTAATATTAATGTTAAACATAACTCAAACGAAGATAGAGCAGGAGCACTGCTAGGTAGCAAAAAGACTAAAGGATTCAATAATAGACTTTAAGTTCACCCAATCTCCACCTAATACCACAACCTCTGCTGTAAAATCTCTCCCAGATGCACATACTCTCACTGGCTCACACACACTGTTACACATACACAAACAATAATACAAAGGCACATGCATACACAATCATAAATTCAGTTACACAGAAACTGTTACACATACAGGTACACACACGGTTACATATATACACACACAATATTACACGTATACACACAAACTTTACAAATAATCGCAAATACATAAACTATTCTACATATACACTCACAGATGCACACACTTATACACATACAATCTGTTATACATACGGACACTGGTAAATTAAAGTGAAACACGTGGGGTATTAGGGAGTTGAAAAAGGCATCTGAACATCAGCTTAGGGACAAGAACAGCATGCTGTAAGGGACCTGCGAGTCCACCGCAATTGTGGGCCTGCGCGCCCGGTTGGCCGATATAAAAAAGTTATGCACATGTTGTATTTTGGTTATTGTGCCCTAAAGGCTTACGGAGACCTGCGAGTCTCAATGTGACTAATTCTCGACAATATAAACCGAAATAAAAACATATTTACAAAAAAAAAAAAAGGCATCTGATATGTTTGACCCTGTGACTTACCAAAAACCTTGAAAATCGGATACATAGAGGTACTGTTATAGCTATCAGACAATGTAAAATAAAAATTTCACATTAGTGTAAACATTGGATTTCACTTTACAGGAAGTATTTAGGAAGGCTGTGCAAGTCACATGCAGGGAGGGGTGACTAGCTCTGCATAAACAAAGTGTTTTAACTCCTAAATGGCAGATAATTGAACTGTCTACTGTCAGATAACCTTCAGCTGCTAAACAGCACTCAAAGTATCTATATTATACAAATGAGTTTTACAGTTGGTTATTTATCATATTGCTGCACTGTATATTTTCATTGAGAACGCTACTTGCTATGTTGGTGATTATAGCTTTTTTTAATTTGGAAGTGGCTACCCAACTAGCAAGTTTAGCAGTTTTTAACTTTTAATGGGATTTTTAGTGATAGAGGGCACGTTTTACACATTTCTTTTTACATAGAATTGAGCAGTGACACTGCAGGGGTATGCTATTTACACCAAACGACTTCATTAAGCTAAAGTTGTTTTGGTGACTACAGTGTTATTTTAAATTTCAAATTATTTACTTTCTTTCGGAAACAAAAGCCTGAATGATTCTGTGGCTCACTTTGAGTTGTTGTGTTTCACATCATTGGCTGAAAAGCACTGTCCTAGACTACACTCATGCTGTATGTTCTACTATACGACATTATGAATTTAGCAGTTTCTTGTATTACTCTCTTCAGTTTCATGTGTCACGATATTGAAATTGGATTGCTCAATATAATTGTTTTAAGTGTTTCTTTCCCCTTTCATATTATTATGTATGATTATCACTATTTCATCAATTCATGTGTATATGAGATTTTGTTGTCACTCTCACTTGTAGGGTTCTGGTTAGCCTGGACACTAATCATCATGATTGGATGTTGCTGTGCATATCGTCATCGCCGTGTGAAGCTGAGGCATCAGCAGGAACAAAGGCAGCGAGAGATCAGCCTCATGGCCTATCAGGGAGTTGCACCATTTCCAGCTGCCTTAGGTAATCGGCCATTGCTACACACTCTTCTAATAAGCCCAGATCTATGGTTGTATTCTAATTTGTGTACAGTGTAACCGTTTTTATGTTTCTTTTCATTTTATCATTGTTTTTAGGGCATTCAAACGTGTTAAAATGTTTTTACATTACCATAGTTTCCCTTTAATTTGATTTAGTAACCTTTAAAGGAATACTATAGCATCAGGAATACAAACATGTATTCCTGACACTATAGTGTTTAACTATTTAGGTCTCCAGCCCCCCTTAGCAGGGAAAATGGGAATTTACTCACCTTTTCTCCCTAGCCAAGCTGATCTTTCCAAGGCTAGCACTGCCTCTAGTCTTGATGATCTCAGCCAATACAATGCTTTCCCACAGGAAAGCATTGAGAGGCTATTGCACGTGTGTGTCAAAATGCCACACTGCACCAATCAGGATCTCCTAATAGAGATGCATTGAATTAGTGCAAAAATATGTTCAGCATCTCCATGCAGAGCTGTGCAGCACTAGACTAGGAAGCACCTCTAGTTGCCGTCTGAGTGGCTGTTCTAGAGGTGTTACTAAACGGCAATGTAAACACTGCCTTGCCTTTTCTCTGAAAAGGCAGCATTTACATTGAAAAGCTTGCAGGGACAGGCTGTAGCCCCCAGAACCTCTACAATAAGCTGTATTGGTTTAGGTGACTAATGTGCCTTTTAAGTGGAAAGAGTCATAACATACAATTTGGAAACATTGGTTGTCTGAATTGTGGAACCTTTTTTTTTTGTTATTCTGTCTTAGGAATAGAACAATTACAATTTATGGGTCTGTTTATTACCCAAATGAACATGGGACATTATAGGCACCCAGACCACTTCACTTCATCTCATTGAAGTAGTCTGGGATCCCTGTCCCTTTAACACTGCAGCTGAAAATTTTAGAGAAACTGCAATGTTTCCAGTGCATGGTTTAACACTGCCGCTAGTGGCTGTCTACCAGACAGCCACTAGAGGCGCTTCCTAATGTTTAACTCCACTTTGGACATCCTGCGTGCTCTAAATCCCCACAGGGAAGCATTAATTCAATGCTTTACTATGGGGAAGGCATAACGCATGCACATTATGTTTTTCTCGCAAAGACATCAGAAGAGGCAGAGACGAAACAAGCGCTGAGGGACCTAGGTGCTGGGATAAGGTAAGTGTTTGTTTAAAGACACTTTAAACCTTTAATAAACACAGGGGGGGTGGGGAGGTTGCAGAGATACAAAGCTGCATTCCTAACACTAGAGTCTTCCTTTAACGTCTTTAACGTCTGATATATCTTAACCTGCAGAGACTTGGCCAAGCTGCAAACTGCCTTCTTACAGTGAGGTCACCCAGGAGCCGCCAACACCTCCACCACCTTACTGTGAGATTTTGGATGAAGACTTAATCCGCCGAGAATGTCTACCACTGCCAGGAACTACATCTGAAAATGTAGACCCTTCTCGCCCCAGTCAGGCAGATCTTCAAAGTGAAGCCCAGGGACCTACAACAGACCACTTTGTGCTGAGTGATGAAGATGTGGAAGAAAGCAGAGTGACAGCTGTTGAAAGAAGACGTCATGTTACAGGGGATTCTGGAATAGTACTTTGTGAGCAGGATGAGAAGGTTGTCTGTCAAAATGGGAAGGAAGGGAAAGACGAGGACAAAGAGGGGCATGTCTGTACAGAGACCACTAGATCTGTGTGAAAGGAAAAGGATGATGGGGCCTCTGTATAGAAATTTGGCGTGTTTGATTGTGACTCTCTCTTTGTGTCCTGTGTGAATTTTCCCAGGATATGGATTCTCAAGGGCTGTTACTTCGGGGCTAAGCAGTGATCTTGCCGTACCTGATAACTCCTGTGTTTTCTGGCACTATACTTGCACTGATGACATCGTCTCTCAAAGCTTTTGCACCTTTTTATTTTTTATTATTATTATTATTATTATTATGTATTAGATTCTGCAAAGAAACTGTCTTGTTTTTCATTTTGTAAAGAAGTCATATTTTGTTATAGAAATTAGGGCTCTGACAACTGGACCTCTGGCACCAACAAGATGGGCTTATCAAAACATTTGCTTTTGACGGGAGAATGTTCGTAAACAAATCAGCGGGAATACTTCTCTACATCTTAATTGTCAAAAAAAGCAATCTTTTTAAGGGATCAGAATGCACAAGAACTATATAGTTTTGAATAAAAAAAACAATCAAAAAACCTAAACCCAATGTTTGTGTTTGATGAGGGTGTGTGCTTGCGTTGAATTTACTCACATTTTAACATTGCAGTAAGATGTACATGGTCCTACAGACCTATACATAAAATCAAACTTCATTGTTAAAGGGGAACCGTCACTTCTCTAGGAATTACACCATGGAATAAAACATTGAAAAGCACCTAGAACTTGTGTTTCTTTTTCATTGGTTTTCATCTGCAATCTAATAACAATAGAGCAAATCATTGTCTAGTTCAGTCCTAGCACAACAAAGACTGACAGGGAGCTAGGATGGAGGATTAGGAGGTGTGGATTTCTATATTTAATCTTATTTTCCATTTTGTTAAATGTAGGCGATAAGTAAATGTAGTTCAAATCTTAGGAAGTGACTGTTCACCATTTAAGGGTTACAAGTGATTCAAACCAAACCTCCATATCTAGTTCCTTGGTTAGAAAATGTAAACTGGCAGCCACATTTAGGGTTTTGTTTGCTAAATTGCAAAGTTTTAGTTTAAATATGCTGCTTTGGAAAACAAATTCTCCATCTTGGCTGTAGTCACAGCTTGTGTGTTTTATTTTGAAGTTTGCCAAAAAAAAAAAAATTCCACTTAATTTGCAGTTTAGTGTGTAAACCATATGTGTCATACAAATTAGTCCCAAGACACAAAAAACAGAACAAATTTTAATGAACTGAAATCGATGCATTGGGTAGATGGGATGTTTTTATCCATTTCTATTCAAGGCCACCTTGTTGTATATAAATGTCTCTTGTTTGGTGTAAATACCCGGTATATATGGCTTCTGCAATGTAATCCTATTCAAGAAAGAAATGACGGAGATCTGTCAGCCAATTGTGATTCTTTCTGTATTTTCAGTAGGAGAACTGTACATAATCCATACATCTCCCAATGGACCATTGCCTTCAGTTTATCAAAATAGAATTGGTCCTTAATCCTTGATGGAATCAGAGATGCATGAGGGCAACCCACAATTCATAGTGTGCGGGTGTTCACTAATTGTTGGATGCTACCCTCTCAATTGAGATTGGGCTAGAAGAATATATCACAGGGACACAATGGGCACCGTTACAACTTCATCTCAATAAACTTGCAATTGTTCAAGAAGTTTCTAGGCACCAACTTATCTTCAGTAAAAAAACATGCGTACCTTTTTCACTCAGTTTTGTGAATGGGTACTTACTGATAGGCTGAGAGCGGTAACTGACGCTCTTATCCTATCTGCAGTGCCCAGTCAACTGATTGGATATCTGAGTTTGCCTTACCTCTCTTTTAAAAGTAGACCTGCATTTATTTCAAGTTAGAATTGGGCAAGGGTTAGTGGAAATCATTACTTATGCTGTCATCTCCACAAAGGAAAGACTATCAGGGTTATTCAATAAAGTAAAACTTGTTAGGAATTCAATGTGAATTTCACATAAAGGGACACTATAGGCACTCAGGCCACTTCATCTCTGGGTCCCTGTTCCCTTAACCCTCAAATGCAAAACATTGTAGTTTCAGAGAAACTGGCACACTTGTTCCAAGTCCTGGAATAGGAATATTTTCAATATAGATTTTGGAAATTGACTTGGGTAGGATGTGATGTGTGCAGTTGTCTGCAACCAGTGTTCGAAATTTTATCAAATACTTTTGTGTAACATTTTTGAATTCTGTGACTGCTATTAAAGGTAGATTCAGAGTAGACAAACTTTGCTAATGTATAGCTGAAATTGTGAATCACAACTTGCCATATTTGTTTTATAATCTTCAACATCAATTTATATCTTAGATATGTTGGGCATTTTAATAATGGTGATAATCTATTTTCTACAAATACTATATCTTAGGTATAAATATAGGGTATCAGAAGAACGCTCTATCTGCCCTTTAAAAATGGTATATAATACACACATAATGAGAAGGTATAGTAAAACAAACACAAAGCAAAAGTGCACAAAAGATCGGTCATGTATGCATGGAATTTCGGGAAAGCTTCACTAAGAGCTTAACCAATTGTAAGTTTGTCGATTAGTTACAATAGTGTGATAAATAGGGTTATCCTGAGGACATTGTACATACCCACAGTTTAAAAACACGTTTGCTTAATCTTTCACTGCACAAGCCCCCCCTGTTAAGAACAGATAAGGACACCAGTGCTGTAATAGTTTGCAACCTTTGTTACAAAGGGAACGGGTATCAAACATGCTGAAAGGCATCATTAAAATGAAGTGCTGCATATCACAATGTATTGTTTTTTAACTAAACATAAATTAGGTATTTGAAAGTGGGTGCTATACATTTATTTTACATTTCTTCAAAGGGATAATAATGCTTTTAAATATATTCAATATATGTGTTTTAATATATGTAAAGGCAGTATGCCTCAAATTGTGAGAGGGGTTTTGCCGGCCTAAATATCCCTTCTCCCCCTCCCAGCTTCCTTCTGGCATTTTGCCGACGTTTTGAAATTTGGTTGCTAGGTTGCCGCACTCAACTTCCTGTTCACGGGCTTCCCAATTTATGATGGCATTTCTGCATTGGTTGTTCGGAAATCCGTCCCACAGTTCTCTTATTTTAAACGTTGTACATTCGTCTGGCAAGGTTACATATTCACTATGATTCAGCACATTTGGCTATGCTACGTATTCACTGTGTTTAAGTATGTTCAGCCATGCTACATATTCACGGTGGTTTCAGTACATTTGGTCTATGTTCAGCCACGGCACTTTTTCACCATTGGTTCAGTACATTCAGCGTACATTCAGCCAAGCCAAGCATAATTGGTTCAATCCATTTGGCGATACTACATATTTGTGGCTGTGGACCTCATGGCATCAGGCTCTGATGTGTACTGTTTTTAACTACTTAATACTTGAACCCCAGTCTAGCAATACAGAATATTGTATCCAAAGTCAGCCTGTATATTTGGCCAGCATGATTTATCTAACTTTATTTGTATTATTAGTACCGGTATGTAGCTGGATGTCAAATGGTTCTGTGTCACCTAAATAGTACACAGAACTTTGTAATACAGCAAGGGTGCAGTTTAATTCGTCATACTGGTTATCAGTAGTGAAGGTTTATAGGCACCATGTTCACAACAAATGAAAAATTTCCCCCTCATCGACAGTAAAATTTACACTTACAGGTTCTCATATTTCAATTTTACATTTATTTGGTATTTGCAGTGTATCCTTTGCTTAGGGTTATGAAGTATGCTGTCCTCACTACTTCATTCAGTATACCAGATTTTGGGGGCATGCCAACTCTTTTATAAGAGATATGGTTATTAGTTAAGTATTAACCCTTTAAGAATGCATGACAGACATTTTCCACCATGCTGGCCCTTCACTTAAGGATGCATGACAGAATGCAGTATTTCATCCCATCTTAAAGTATTTTTCCCTGCTGATAATTAAAAAACCCCATTTAGGATCCCCAAACTGACATGTGAGCTGCATGCATAGCTCAAAGTGAGATCAGCATTCAGCTCTTTAAATGGGGATTTAAATTCCCATAGACGGTATTATGGTGTGAGCGCGGTTAAATCCCTGCTTTCACCATGAACCCCAAGTATCAATAGAAATATTGGGCACCCCTCTGTCACCTGGGGCCATTTTTAGTGGCCCAGACTTTATTTTATAATTTAGTTTTTTCATTATACATTTTATAAACCTTACATATGAAGGTAACAATTTCCTTCTAATTCAATCCATTAGATACATACATCATAGATTATGCTTGACAGTACGTGCAACATATACACAAAAACCAAAAGACAAACATAAAACAATTCAATTCTTCTATTATTTGTATTAAACAGGTTTTGGTTATCCTTTCTACGTTATTTCATTTCAGGTTATTCCATTGTGGTGAACGCTAGTCTTACATTCAAGGTATACAGAATTAATTAATTTAATTCAATAGGTCGTTTTTCAGTAGTCTTAATCCATCAATCCCAAATTTCATATCTATACGTTAATGCAGAATTGAGAGGCAATGTCTCTTTCCATTTTGCAATGGGTTTGAATTGCCTCCTTAACTTGCTGCCAGTTATCTATTGTTGTTTTTCTCCAATTCCTAGCAATAGAGATCTTAAAGGCCATCAATGCATGAATCAGGAGGTATTTATTCTCTTTTGATGTTTGAGGTAGTTTTAAATGGAGTAATATTGTTTCAGGAGTCCACTGCGGTGCAATGCCCAGTAGTTTATTGATTTCTAATAAAATTGTGTCCCAAGCTTTCTTAACTGGTGGGCAATTCCACCATATATGTATTTCATCTGCTCCTTTTGCTCCACATCTCCAACAACTCTGAGTGTCTGCATTGGTAAATTTACCTAATTTAGCAGGAGTCAAATACCACCTATTTATCAATTTATAGTGGGCTTCCATTATATTTAAACAGTGGGCTACAGAATATACAGATTGAAGAGCCGCATTCCAGTCTTTTGTATCAATTTTTACATGCAAGTCTTTTTCCCAAATATTTTTAGCAGGAGGCAACTCCTGAGTTTTCACTGTTTTTATAATACCCACACATTTAGTTAGTAATTTTATATATTTTTTGTTCTTAATTAGATCATTTAAGTTATAGGCCATGGATGTCCGGCTCAAATAGCATATTGCTCTATTCAGAAAGCTTTTTATTCTGATATAGTTAAAATTTTGCATTGCAGAGGGTCCAAATTTGCTTCGTATCTCCTTAAAGGGCATAATCTTAGCCTTTTTAAATAAATCTGAGATCTTTTTAATACCCCGTCTTGTGCATTCCCGTATATCTAGGTCATCAATCCATCTATCTAAATAAGTAAATGGTAATGCTGGTCAGATTTTTGCATTTTAAATTGATTTGGTTTTTAAAATGGTTCCAGAATTTGATAAGAGGTTTCAATATTAGATTATCAGTCTGAGCTGTCTTGTTTCTAGTTTGAAAATTAAATCCTGTATCCCATAATATGTTTACCATATTATAGGGTTCCTTAATATCGTCCGATTCTATTTCAAACCAGTTTTGAGTATTATTATCTTGCTTGATTATATTAATCGTGTGCGTCAAGAGCGCTGCTCGGTGATATAGAAATATATTAGGAAAACCTATTTCTCCTTGTTTGAGTTTTAAATATAAAATATCTTGTCCTATTCTTGGTTTCTTATTAAGCCAAATGTAGTTTCTAAATATTCTATTTATATAGATCAACCAATATGGTTGTATCGGGATCATTTTTAACAGATTATTTGGGGGAAAATAGAAGCCTTTATAGAGTTAACTCTGCCCCACCAAGATATTTCTCATGTACTCCATTGTTTTAAAAGTTGCGTAGTTTCTCTTATTAATGGGATTAAATTAGCCTTCATTATATTCGAGGGCTCTTTCACAATATTTATTCCAAGATAATTAAATCCCTTCTTTTCCCATTTAAAGGCATATTCTTTATTTAGACGCAAACAATCCCTTTCCTTTATGTACATAGGTAATACTACCATTTTTTTGTACATTAATTTTATAATTATATATTATGTGCACTATGTTTATATATAATGTGCATTACTTCTGGTACTGATGAAATAGGGTCCACAAATGTTAATAATATATCATCTGCATATTGATTAATCTTAAATTCTTTACCCTTTATTTGAAAACCTCTTATATTTGAATTTAACCAAACTTGATATGCTAATGGTTCAGCCGCCAATATAAAAAGGAGTGGGGAGAGTGGACAACCTTGGTGGGTTCCATTTGCTAAATCAAACCACTCTGACCTAATTCCCCCTCCTACTATTCTACTCGAAGGGGAAGAATAAAGTGCCATAATTGCTGAGATAATACGCCCTGAAAACCCAAAAACCTCTAAAGTTTTCCTCATAAAATCCCAACTAACTTGGTCAAAGACTTTCTCTCCATCGAGCGCCATAGAAAAGAAGGGCGTTTTGTGGCATGAACTTTCTCGTATATATTTATAATCTTCCTGATGTGATTGGAGGGCGTTCCTCCACTTGATCTTCTGAGATCAAAGTTGGGATAATACTTTTTATTCTCTTGGATAAAATTGAAGCATAGATTTTATAATCGGTATTCAGCAGTGGAATTGGTTATTTCTTCTGGATTTTTGTTTTGTTTTAGTATAGGGACAATATTGGCCACCAGCATGTCTTTTAACATCTTCCCGGAGGACAAAGCTAAATTAAAACATTCCACCAATCTCTGAACTAATTTATCGTTATATATTTTATAAAAGGAGCCCACGAACCCATCAGGACCCGGAGCCTTATTTTTTTTATTGTATTTATTGCTTCTTCGATTTCTTGAGACGTAAGGTCTTCATTTAATTGCTCTAACTCAGGGGTTCTCAACGTTATTGAGTCTAAGGTGTTTTTTTCCCTTTTTCTAAACACCTGAGACACACCCAGATAATCCCCAAATCCTGGACTGGTAGGGGGTCCTGAGGACTGGGTTGAGAACCCCTGCTCTAACTGATCCTTATTTATACAGGGAAGGTCCTTATCTAAAACATATTCATTTATATCTTCTTTAGATGCTGTAACAGGCAGATTATATAAAGTGTAATAATATTCTTTAAAGACACTACCAATTTTCCAGGGTTCTAATATTTTTTGGCCTTGTCTTATTTTATTTATTAATTTATTTTTTTTGTTGTGTTTTGACTTTATTGGTAAGTAATTTATCTGCTTTATTCCCTCTATAGTAAAAATTAGTTTTCATATATTGCATATTATTTACTTTCGCTGTTAAAAGCTCATTGATTTTATTTTCAAGAATATTTATTTGATTTGCTACCGCTCTTGTGGGCAATGCTTTATTTAGTTTATAATATTCATCCAGTGCAATAAATAAATCTGATAATGATTTTTCTCTCTTTATTTTTACATGCTCTTCTAGACTAATTATATGGCCACTTATGACACTTTTAAAGACGCACCATTTCATCATAGGTGATACTAATTTGTCCCCATTTTCTAACCAGTATGAATCAATTGCTTTTGCAATACTATATCTATTTGTTTTAGATATTAATAATTTATCATCTAATTTCCAGTCAGATCTGTTTCTAGCGAATTCAGTTTTAAACTGTATTTTCACCATATTATGGTCCGACCAAGTGGTTGCAATAATGTTAGAGGATTTTACTCTCTCCAGCAGCTGATCATCAATCAGAATTAAATCAATTCTTGAATATGCACAGTGTGTTTTACTAAAGCAGGTAAAATCTGCTTCGTTTGGGTGAAAAATCCTCTAGCAATCAAAAAGAGCTGCATTTTGGAGAGCATCATGAAATTTCCTAGCCTGATTGTAAACATTCTTAGATGTTTGTTTTTTGTTACCTTTCTCTGACCTTTTATCCAATTAAAATCTCCTGTTAATATAACTGATTCTTGTTTGGTTTTGTCTAATTTTGATATAAATTTTTGTATATATTGAATTTGGGAAGAGTTTGGGGCATAAATATTGGCTATTGTATACACTCTCTCATCTATATTACAAATAGTTATGATCCATCTGCCGATTTTGTCTATACTCTGAAATTTTATAAAAACATTAATCTTAGCAGAAAATAGAATGGCTACCCCTCTTTTTTTTTCTTTTCTCCTTAAGCGATGAACAAACAAGAAGTGGAAAAGCCTTAAACGTATGTTTTTCTACATCACCTTGGCGCCAGTGTGTCTCCTGAATACATACAATATGCACGTTTTCATTTTTCATGCGCTCAATTAAAAATGTTTTGGGCGTTAATGGAGACAGTATTTAACATTGTCTAGTCTAGATTTGAAGTCCCACATATCTAGGCTTATCAAATTCCCTCATTGTAACGCCTTTTGTATCTTTTAGAGCCATCATTCCTCCTATTTATTATTATAACCTCGCAGAAAAAATAAGATATTGCCTCCACTACGCAATCTCCTGATTTTGTTATCCACCAAAATACCTGTTGTTTAACTTTGACTTGAAAACATAACATTTGAACACAGACAGTAAGATATATAAAAGACAGCCCTATAAGGCAGTTTGGAAGGGTCAATGGATAATCCTATCCCATTGGTCCTTCCACCGTGATCCTATACAAGGATCTATTTAAATACTGCGTAACCTCTGAGAACAAGAGTAATAACTTTGATCTCTATTACCACTTAAGATTTCTCTTTTATAGAAAAGAAGAGTCAAGCGGAGAAAAAAACAAAACATAATTCTTATCAGGGCCGGACTGGCCCACCGGGATACCGGGAATTTTCCCGGTGGGCTGCGGCACCTGGGGCCGGCAGGAAGCCCTAATGTACTATTTAAATAATTTTTCCCTCCTAGTGACAGAAGCTGTCACAGAATTTATGAGGCTGGTGCGGCCACATTAAGGCTGCTGGCGGCTGGAGGGAACACTGAGTCTCCCTTCCTGATTCCCAGCAGCACTTAATCCGCGGGCCAGCACGTTAGCTCCGCCCCGAATGGAAGCTCCGCCTCTGTTTGGAAGCTCCGCCTCCCACACTCAAGCAGGGGAACTTGCTGCAGGAAGAGGCCTGGCCTCCCAGAGAAAATGTCATCTCCCACTGCCTCCAGTGCCAGGTAGGCTTTATATTCTGTGTAGTGTGTGTGTCAGTGAGCTAAAAGAAGGGGATATTGATGCAGTGAGGGGGGTATTGATGGAGTGATGGGGGGCTATTGATGGTGTGAGGGGGATATTGATGCAGTGAGGGGGGTATTGATGGTGTGAGGGGGATATTGATGGAATGAGGGGGTATTGATTGAGTGAGGGGGGCTATTGATGGTGAGGGGGGGTATTGATGGTGAGGGGGCATTGATGCAGTGAGGGGGGGCTATTTTCGATGCAGTGAGGGGGCTATTGATGCAAGGTGATACGCAGTGAGGGGGGCATGATGCATTGAGGTGGGTATTGATGCATTGGGAGGGGGCATTGATGAAATGAGGGGGCTATTGATGGTGTGAGGGGGCTATTGATGGAGTTTTATGGGGTATTGATGCAAGTGAGGGGGTATTGATGGTGTGAGGGGATATTGATGGTGTGAGGGGGATATTGGATGGAGTGAGGTGGGGGCAATTGATGGTGTGAGGGGGCAATTGATGGAGTGATGGGGGTATTGATGGTGTGAGGGGGATATTGATGCAGTGAGGGGGATATTGATGCAGTGAGGGGGGTATTGATGCAGTGAGGGTGGGTATTGATTGTGAGAGGGGGGTATTGATGGAGTGAGGGGGTATTGATTGAGTGAGGGGGGTGATAATGTTGTAAGGGAAGGAGGGGGGTGATGGTAAGGGATTAAATACTTTTTTTTTTTTTTTTTTTTAGCTCCCTGGTGGTCCGGTGGCCATAATATCCGGTCTGCAGCTCCGCGGAACTGCAGACCATGTATCTCGCGATATCTAGTCAGAGCGTTGCCGTGGGAACCTGCAGCAACGCTTTGATTGGCCAGATCTCGCGAGACACGTGGTCTGCAGCTCTGCACATTGCGGAGCTGTAGACCTGTGTCTGCAATTGACGCTCTCCTGCCGGGCCGATTGGAGGGGCCTAGCACCCGGTGGCATACAGAGCAAGCCACTGTGCGAGGCCTTTGGCGGCTGCCTAAATTGCCTAATTAGAGAGCCGCCTCTAACCACAGTCTAGCACCTGGTATTAAAACAGTGATTATATTATAGCAGGAGTGCCAAGCAATATTGAACTATATATATTTGTATGTGTGTAATATATATATATTACACACATACACATTACGTGACACAAGGCCTTATGGGGCTGGCATACATTTTTTTTTCCAGGGCTGCTTTGAATCCCCAGTCCGGCCCTGCTGGGGGGGGTCTCTTTCTCCCTGGGGGTCCAGTGGTTGCCGGGCTGGGCGGGTGGCTGGGAGGGAGCACTTCCTCTGAGCGGTCTGCTCAGATCCCTCGCGCGCCTCAGAGTGAGGCTGCGAGCCAGAATATGACGTCATCAACCCGGCTCCCAGCCTCACTCTGCGGCGCGCGAGGGAGCTGAGTAGACCGCTCAGAGGAAGTGCTCCCTCGCCAGCCACCCGCCCAGCGCCGCCCGCCCACTCGGCATGTCCGTTAGCCACAAGGCTAACAAGGCATTTGCCCTGGGCATTTGGGGGGTGGCTTTCTTTGCCGCCCCCTGGAAAATGACACCCAAGGCAAATGCCTTGTTTGCCTCGCGGTTAAAACACCCCTGCTGATATACATTTAGCCACCCTCAAAGTTCTTACTTTTTTCTGGAGGGTGGTTTCCCTGGGGTCCAGTGGCAGGCTGAGGCGGTTGGGAGTTATCCTCTAGAACTCCCCTCCTCCCGGCCTTCCCGGGGGTTCTCCTTAGTGTCTACATGGGGGCTGCGCAAATCGTGGGGCCCACGGGACAGCTGCTCTGGGGCCCCCCAGGAGCAACTGGGCCTCTGGCAGCTGCCCCGTTTGCCCTGCGTTAAAGACGGCCTTGATTACAGGTATGTAAAACACACAGCTAGAAATGCCCAATAGTACATTCTGAAGTAAAAAACAACTTTTGTTTAAAAAGGGTCACAGAAAAATATAGAATTTTTATTTTTCACACCTCACTTATATTTCTTAAATATGGGGACAAATAAACATAATATTAAATATCTTGGGAAGTGAGAGCTTCCCTTTAATTTTTTTGTTTGTTTCCACTGACGTTCGCCTCTTATTTCTGTAATATCACAACCTTGACTTAGTTAACAGGATTGCATAATGTGAAAAAGTTGAGTTACTGAAACTCTACATTCTTTTACTGAAAGCAAACATTGCGCAATTCCTGTTTATGCTGACCTCTGGAGCAAAAAACTGAATAAAAACAGAGAACAAGAACTGTGTGAAG